GAGTCAGATGACAGTGAGCCCTCTTTCTGGGCCTGTTTGGCAATAACGACTGGAGACAGTGACAGGAGTCCCCCACCCCCACCCCTCTCCCCTCCTGCTGGGAGTGGGGCGCCCTGAGACAGGCCCTGCTCGGGCTCTCCAGACCCCGAAAAGGACAATGGGACCACCTCCACCAGCAAAGGATGGCTGAGCCCCCGCCCCGGCCTCCCTGCTGGGCCCCTCCAGCCCCTTCCCCAGCTCTGCTTACCCTTGGACACCTTTCTTGGGGGGCTTGCTCTTGAACTGCCTGGTTTGCCGCTGCTTAAATTTGGGGGGCCCTTTCCTGGGAGTGACAGGGCCCCCCGTCACCCTGGTGGCCGAGCGGATCTCGGCCTTGGGCGGCTCCAGGTTCATGGCCAGGCTGGCAGAGACCCTGTGGCGACCTTGGGCTTCTGGACTCCCTCACGCTGGGCGCTGGGGGCAGACCAGGTGGGGATCCCAGTCAGCCTCCTGCTTCCAACCCACCAGAGGGAACCCCCAAGTGTGAGACCTAGGGGCCCTCAGCCTGGCCGACAGCAGCCCCTGCCACCTGCACTGGGGCTGCGCTGGGGCCACAGGGGAATGCAGTGCTGGAGGCCCCCGAGTGCACCCCTCCGCCCTGAGGCTGGGACATGCTGTCCTATTCACCAGGCAGCGCCAATGAAGGGGGACCCGAGAGAAGGCGGGGATGCAGGCAGGGAAGGGGCCGGTCTCACAGGAGACGCTGCGCTGAGCTGTGGCAGTGTCTTCCCAGCCGCTCAGTGCTCGGAGCTCCCTGTGGGCGCCAGTGTCACCTGTTGGTGTCCGTGCAACACCGACCAGGTGACCTCCTCTCCTCTCCCCAGAGCCACTCCCCGATGCCCTAAGCCCAGTGACCCTGGCCCAGAACAAGGGCAGCTCGGCTTCCTCTAAGCCTATTAGCAGCAGAGGGAGACTAATCCCTCGGCCACTGGGGCCCAGAAGGTTCAGGGCCTAAGCAGGTGACAGACAGGAGTGCGGTACCCACAGCGCAGGCCCCGGCGCCGTCCCTTGGGTCAACTTTTTGTCCCCAGTCGGATGGGCTGCAATGCTGGAGTCCAGCCTTGGGCTGCCAACAGCCGCCTGCTGGCTGACACCAAGTGAGAGGCAAGGACAGGTCGTCCCGCTGGGAAGGAAGGCTCAGTGGTGGGTGCTGGGTGCCTGGGATTGGGGTGGCCCTGCCATGGACCTTCCCTCCCTAAGATTCAGCCTCTGTGCTGAGACCAGAACCAGCCCAGGAGGGTCCCAGGAGGACGGCAGGCCTGGCCGGGTCCTTTCCTCAGTCCTGGGCCCCGGGCCTGGCGTGGACAGCTCTGTGCCCCGAGGGAGCTCCAGGAGCAGATGCTGTTCCCATGGAAACCGCTGCCTGAGCTGCCCCTCAAGTTGACTGGGCACGTGAGACCCAGAGCGTTGCTGGCCTGGGGACGGCCTGTACCTCGCTTGACTTGGGGGAGCAGAGGTGACTGGCTGCGCATCCTCTGACCCAGGCCTCAGCGTGGTGGTGGAACGCCGCCTGCTCCCCACCCTCTGTGCAGGCGCCCACGAACACCCTTGGGTGAGGGGCTGCCAGGAAAGGCAACGGGAGGTCACTACTCACCAAGCACTGCAGGTCTCAGGGGGCCAGAGGTGCGAGGGCGGCCTCCCTCACCAGGGTCAGCGGGCATTTATCCTGCTGCCGGGTAAGCCGATTAGCACTGTCCCCTGATGCCACGCTAAAGAGCTTAACGGGGCCGCTGGGGTGGGCACCGCCCAGGATTCCAGGGGATGGGAAGGGGCTCAGGTGCAGTCAGGAGCCTGAAGGGAGGGCAAGCTAGGGACCTAGGGACGGGCCAGGACAGGGAGGGAAGTGTGATCAGGACAGTGAGCAGGGCAGGACTCTCTCCTGAAGCAGCTCTTCTTCGAGACAAAGACAAAGACAAAGCACAACGCTGCTGCTGTCCTGGCCTCCCCACCTCACCTGTGGGCTCTGCGCTGGGAGGTGGACCTACTGTGAGTCCCGCGTTCCCTGCTGGGGCCCACACAGCAGTCAGACCTGGGGACCCTGTGGGCTCTGCGCTGGGAGGTGGACCTACTGTGAGTCCCGCGTTCCCTGCTGGGGCCCACACAGCACCTTACAAGACCCCATCGGATCCCAGGAGGAATTAGCATCCCCTTCTATGGTTTCATATCTAAAAGGCCTGTTTGTCAGCTCAATCCCTCGTGAAGTCGTGTTACCACCTGAGCTTTTCCCTTCAATGAGGCAATAAACCGGCATAAATTCTTTTAATCCTTGCCCTGCCCAGGCCACTAGCATCGGAGCTTGTGATTGCTGGGGTGGGGGATGAGGCGGGAAATTTCCAAGGACGAGGATGAGGGAAGATAGGGATGGGCAGCGAGGGCCCTAAGATAAAGTCCCACTTGGGCCGATGGTCCCAGGGCCAGGTCTGCAGCCAAAGACCAGGCTGGTGTCGGGACGCTGGTTCTCGGGTTAATGCCTGAGGCCTCCTAGTCCTCCCCTGGACACCTGCCCGGGAGGCTGGGCCTAAGTGAACTGGAAGGACTGGTGGCTCCGTGCTCAGGCCCCTGCAGGCTGATTGGCAGCCGGCTACTTGGCTGGCAGACGGGTGTCTCCTCAAGGACAAATGGGGAATGTTCCGGGCTGCCAAGGGCACCTTCCTGGGAGCAGACAGTCCTCCCTCTGCCCCACAGCTGACCTCCAGCAGGACTCCTGGATGCGGGACACAGAAGGGGGCCCTGGGCTCAGTGTCATCTGAATATTCAAGGAAGAGTCTTATTTCACCCACAGGCTGGTGCGGCTGCAGGTGCTCGGGGACCATCTGAGGACACCTGCTCTCCGCCGAGGCCACAGCAGCCGCTCAGACCACAAAGCCTCTCGTCTCAGCAGCAGGGAGCTTATTTATTTCCAGGCGAAGTCGATTCCCACCCGACGCAAGCCCCATGAAGCCGCCCGGGACAGAGGGGCCGCGTGCTGCTGGGCAGGAGCTCGGGCTCCCGCGGGTGAGCTGTCGGCCGGGCCGCTCAGCCTCTGCTCCTCATGCGGAGCTGGATCTCTGTCCGGAGGAAGGCCTTGAGGTTCTCGTCGGCCACGTGCTCCTGCAGGGCGGCCAGGGCCCGCTCCCCGCCGTCCTGGTAGTGCCGCAGCAGCGCCTCTGCGTAGTCCACCCACACGCAGTTGGGGCAGCCGCTCATGCAGCAGTTTGTGGGGGGCTGCAGCTCAGGTGGCAGGGGGTACGGGGCCTCCGAGGTGCTCCCGCCGGGCAGGGAGGACTTAGGATGCCTGGTGCCGTCGGCACCTGCTTGGGAGCCCTCCTCCCCATGGTCCTTCCCGAACTCTCTACGGCCTTCGCAGACCAGGATCCAGGCACGGTACCTGTGCAGAGTGCTGCCGCCTCCAGGAAGCCCGCGGCACCGCTCCCAGCTGGCGAGGCGGCCTGGCCCCTAAGAACGCAAATAAGCCTATGAGTCTCCAGGAAGCTGTTCAGGCCCGGCCCGGCCGCAGCTCCAGGGGAATCTTGGCCTCTGGGCTGTGGCCGAAGGCTCGGCAGTCTTCTCACTTCCCATGTGACCTTAGACAAGTCTAGACTCGGTTTCCACCTGTAACCGGATGTGGTGGTTGGCATGACGACATGATGCGACTAAAGAGAAGCGCTGGTTTCAGGGCCTGTCACTGGAATGCATTCCAGCAGATGGAGGGTGGGGGGAAGCTCGGCACCTCCAGCCAAGCCCCCTCTCCCTCCACCCAGCACTGAGGGCCCGTGCCCTCTGACCTTCTCACTGACCGCATGACCCGTCGTCCTGTTTCCGTCGCAGGAGAAGCCCTCACCTGCTTCCTCCAGCCCGGGAGCCCCCTCCCCGCTCCACGTGTCTCCAGGGCACTGAAACCGAGACTCAGCCCGAACCATGTCACCAGCTCCTGCGAGGACCATGAGCTCCCTGTTCACGGCGGCCTCCCCAAAGGGCGCGCATGCAGCAGGCGCTCCTAGATATGGCCGAGCGGGTGGACGAGCCAGAACCCGCTGGCCCAATCCCGGGGCTCGGCCCAGAAGCAAAGCAGCCCTCCTCGCCGACAGGGAGCGGGCCTAGCAGGAGCAGCACGACGAGCCGCGTCCAAGGCTGCCCTGCCCGCCGGCGGCGCGGGCTGCAGCGCGGTCCCTGGGAAACGGGGAGGCCGGGATTTCTCGGGTCCGTGCCGCCCCGGCCCCGCGCCCACCCCCACCACGCCGTCCCCGTCCCCGCCAGGTACTCACCGAGCACAGGGAAGCTGAGGCTACCGCCCGGCCGCCAGCGGCTACGCTCCGCAGCAGCATCGCCCGCGGCCCGACCCATTGCGCACGCGCTCTCCAGTCTCCGCCCCTTCCGGGCCGTGAGCGGCGACCACCTTAGCCAATCGCCACTCGGCTAGGAGCTGCACCGCCCCAATGAGCGTGGGGCTGGTGCAGGAAGTGGAAGTGGCTGTCGTGGGGCAGGACCGCCCGCGAGAGAGGAAGTAGCTTCTCCCAGACCCCGGCGCGTGCAGATGGCGGGAGCCAGGCTCCGAGCAGCGGGCCCCCAGAGGACAGGGAAGCCTAGGGGCCCGGAGCGGCCGCAGGGGCGGCGGCAGCAGCTGCTGGGGAAGCAGTCGGCGCCGTGGCCCAGGCCGCGGAGGTGGGTCTCTCCCCCTGCCGGGCCCCTCGCGTTCTGCCCAGTCCGTGCCGAGAGTGGAGGCGCGAAGGAGGGGACACTGCCACCTTCCAGGGTGCCGTCTTGGCCATCCTGGGCGAGGCCAGGGAGCGGCGGTCCCTGGGGCGCTCGGAGCGTTCTGCGGGGGAGGATGCTGCCTCGGCCCGCGTGCCCAATGCAGCGGGGCGGCCTGCGAAGCTTCGTTTTCTCTGACTCTGCTTCTGCTGGACGTAGGACACATCTCACCCCGTGTTCTCCTTCTTAGCCAAGAAAAGAAGAGAGTGAATTGCAAGCCCAAGAACCAGGATGAACAGGAAATCCCTTTCCGTCTCCGGGAGATTATGAGGAGCCGCCAGGAAATGAAAAACCCCGTCAGTAACAAGAGGAGGAAGAAAGAGGGTAACGTGCGGGCCGTGTGGGTGGCAATAGAGCGTCACTGCCCAAATAGCCGAGGGCCGGCCAGGGGCCCGAGGGGGCGGGGCGGGGGCTGACCCGAGGCCGGCGTCTCCAGGGCCACCGCCGCCTCTGGTTTCAGAAGAGGCTCCAGGGGAGCCCTGGGCCTGGGGTGAGCAGCATTCACTTCCCCCAAGAGCAGGGGACCCGTCGGACGGGAGGTCGGTGCAGATGTACTTTGAGGGAAGGTCACTGTGTGGCGAGGGAGGGAGGGAGCGAGGGTGGACAGGGCCAGCCAGTGAGGCTCTTGTGAGGGAGAATGGGGGGAGCAGTGGGGGTGTCGGGGTAAGGAGGGCAGTGATGAGGCTCACTCGGACAAACTGACCCATCACACCCCTCCCCCAGGCCAGGCCAGTGCCCTCCATCAGCTTCTGCCAGAGGTGGCCCTTCGCACGTGTGGGGGAATGGAGTTTCTGTTTTGTGTAGACGTGTTTGTTCTCCCAAATGTAGGACTGATTTTGCAGCACTTCTGCTGGGTAATTTAACCTAAATCCCGGGCTTTTTGAAAGATAAGCTCACATATGGGGTAAAATCAGGCCGATCTGAGGGGTATGAGGCACAGCCTCCTCCCTCTAAAGAAACCACGGCTCCTGCTTCGTCCCTTCCAGAGCCTGCACGTGCCTCCTCGTCTGTGTGACGTGAGGGCGTGCTGCCCTCTACGCCTTCCGAGTGCAGTGGGCTTTATGGCCTGTCCACACCCCGGTGCGAGCTCCCCTGTGCTCTCCCCTGACCGGGGCGGGGAGGCCCCTGCGTGAGCACAGGGACTCACTCAGGACCACCTACTGATGGACGTTAGGTGGCTTCCTGTTTCCTTTCTCAGCTGAGCTGACATCTCCGACATGTACCAGGGGCCTGGGGTGACCCCGTCCCTGTGGGTGCCCCAGGATGGGCATCGGACATCCTCGTCGGC